TATGTATATTAGTAGTATNTAGTGTGTGTATATATATATATATATATATATATATATATATATATATATATATATATATATATANATATATATATTATTATATATATATATATATATATGTATATATATGTATATATATGTATGTATGTATATATATATTTATATATATATATATAAAGTACACAATGTGTATTCACTGTTCTAGAATGTATTGTCGTTCTGCGAAATAAGCCATGTGTCAACTTCGGTTTTGACCTATACATAAGTGAAAAATGCAAATCTTGAGCAGTATATACTATTTGTTTGTTTTATATATTTTGCAGCGTGTGGCTATTCCTGTATTTTTGGGTCGGATATGGTCATGAATCGATTCAGCTGTGTCCTCAACAACCTTTTGATCAAATCTTGTACAACGCTTATGTTATAACCTTCCAGGAGCTATTCAGTGCATATAAACACGAATTGGTCGAGTACTGTGAGGAGCAACAGCACAGATTGACCGACGCGTTATTTCGTATGCTACGCATACTTAAGACGCGAGCAATACAGGTGTGTTGGGTAGCGAAGTTGGAGTTTGATTCACGATATGCTGTCTAGAATTTACCACGATACTTGCCACTATGTGTTTTGCGATAACTACCCGACCCCTTTTTCAATTAGATTGCCAGTTAACTCAGTAAGCAGAGCCAATTTGATCATCCTAAGTTTTTCTGTAGTACCTTTTGGTGATTTTACAAACATGGGAACTCCCTATTCTATTAATAGGGGTACAACTGTTTCTACCTTCTCGAAAACATTTTCCAAAGTAACAGATATTGGGTACTGGCATGCATTTGTCATACTCATGCATCGTTGTCTTTCGGCAGGTAGCCATTTGACAACTGTTGTGCAACCATGATTACATACAAGGTCATCGAACTCTAAGTGGCAGAACAGCTATATAAATTTTAAATTTCTGAGATGCATTTGAATCTAAGTTTGTACGTAGTTATTTCAATCTATCTGTTGGAAAGACTTTAATCTACGATGAAAATTGTCAATTTCACATGCAAATTCTCTGTCGTTGCTTTCATAATCATAATGTAAAGCCTCAGTAGTTGGTTTGGCAAGATGCGGAGTGACCAGTGATTGCCGATAATATTGTTTGGGGACTTATATCCTCAAGATTTCCGGTCTCGCATTGTTCGGAAGCCCCCGCTCCCCCCTGTATAGGAATGTATCCTGTGTGCTTGTTGGCTTGATCATATATTTCTTGGCGTGATACATGTATGTGGTCGCATCTGGATTATTCACAAGCCAACCCAACCCATCCCCCCTACGAACCTCCGCAATTGATTCTCTATCACAAATTGACCGGTGCTTCCCCTCATTTACATGCTCACTTTTAGCTCGCGCAAGTCTCTACCGCCTGTGTAGCTCTCATAGCGCTCAACGTGGACATAGAGTATCTCCGAGAGGTATATCTGCTCTTTCCATGTTCTCGATTTCCCTGCTAATTATTTTCATCTTGAATCACTCTCGGTTCTGCACCAGCGTTTCAAGGGAAGCTCTCTTGCTGATTTTAATCAACGTCTCACTAATATCCGTAGTGCACTCAGGCAGCAGCACGTCTGCATATTTTTCCTCTTTGCTCAATGATATCATAAGTCCTCTTGAGATGTGATCCTTATTATGAAATATTCGCTTTCCTTTATGCCGGGAGCAGAAAAAAAGTCAAGTCCTAGCCAGCCCTTGGGTCAATGAATCCTTACGCACACAGCTCGAACTTCTATCGGAGACTGGATTATTCCGTGAGTACTGTGGTTGCAACACATGTTTTAATTTTCCATGTTTACGAGAAGACCTGCACTATAGTCATGGCTGTAGAATATTTGACCCAAAAGGCATTTGAAACTTCTTTAACGTTGTGCAGTATCGAGATTTTATCATAGTATGAACGTGTTCTTTACAATACACCTCAGCAGTTGGACACTCTTACATACCTTTCTAGCTATGAAATACACAGAGCCTAATCAGCTCTATTCTCTGGGTAGCATACTAGTAATTCATGTGGCTGTGTTTTTGCTGTCTACCCCACGTAGAGCGTGTTCAGTTTCCATCACAGGGAAACGCACCTCATCATGTTCATGTAGAATGTAAGAGTTTTATAAACATAGCTCATTTGCGCTCGTCGCTTCTCTATTAGAGATCACTCTAGGCGAAACTGCTGGAGGTGCGGCTTCTCAACAAACGTCAGTGAGCGACCATAAAGTTGAACTAGAGACCAGGTCAGGGTTAGTTGCAAATAGCGATCTTGTTGTTGGAGCGCCACCAAGTCCTACGTTGAGTGATGAGGTGGGTATTTATAATCGGCGAGTGCTTTTCATCGATTAGTTGCTATTATTTCATGTTGTCTCAAAGCTTGAGGCTTACTACTGTATATTAATGTAGCATTTGTTTTCATTCTTGTTTCAACCTCGACAGAGATGAGCTCTTTCGGAGTATTCACGAAGCTTCCAGGTGCAAACCCAAACATAACCCCAAACGCAGCACTCCGAGCGCTGCACCATGTGAGACTGACTATAATTTTACACCACGACCGAATGTATTGGAATAGAACAAATCAAGATTGACAACAACAGATCGAAAAGTGTTTTTAAGTCCCTGAGCTCACTTAGTATAAGATTATCTGCTGCGGGCCACACCAGCAGTTTTGTACATTTCGCACTGAAATGAATGAGAATACAAGGCGGTGAACGGTCTTGGCTATTAAGGATGGCACTTCAGTGAGACGGTTGATATCACAGAAGCGACTAACTTTTTATCCTAGCTACTTACCAATGTATCATGTAAAACCTTCGCATAGCTCCCACACAATTTTACAGACTAGAGTAAATTCGACTGACAAGTATCTACGATTGCGAGGTACGAAATAAAGATGCTTTTTTTTTAAGACACACCAAGGTAGATTTGGAAGCTGCGCTCACCCATTAATACATGTTGTGTTCTGTGCCGTGGTAGCCAGAGATTGAATCCAAGCATGCTACAATGCACACCTGCAAGAGTCGGGTGCTGTAATTTGTCATTTGTACATTTCCTATCTTTGGTAATACGCTTCGTGCTGTGTACTGAACGGTATTCCAACATGAGATCAAGACACATGTTTCTACAGCCACAATTCTCTACAGCGCAAGTATTTCGGAATATTTGGTTTCCAATTTTGGTCCTGGTCGTGCTCCATCCGATACTTTTGTAGAATTGGAGAATGAAAAATCGACTGATAGTATGACCACGCCAGCATCGTATGACGCTGCCTCGATCACTTTCCCCTCAACTTTCGTTTTTGAAGAGTTGGATCTATGAACCGTTCGTGAGCTCTCCAGAATGGCCAGCACGAAACTGTAGCTTCATTTTGCAACGATATCAACTTGACATTCCTGTCCATATCAAGATCTATTAATTTCCAATAAAATAGCTAGTTTATTCCGACAAATTCTTGTTGATCAGTACGGTCATACGTTGACATGAAGAACCTGCGAGCCTATGACATATGTACTTTCAGTGTTTATGATATACAATTGCTATGTCGTAAAGAATTTTACTAAAAAGTATATCTGGCACAAACGCTGAATGACTCTTGTGCTTCCTGTATGGGTTTGTGTACATGACAATATTTGAGAATAAAAATTTTCTTCGGAAACATTTGAATTTGGTTTGTCGGATTCCGTCTCCTTGGTGTATTTCGGTATTCATGATTTGTGCTCTCTATGTTTATCGTTTAAACTTATTCCCTTGGCTCACTGAATGCATCCATTTACACCGTCGCGTATTCTTCTCAACTGCGACTACAGCGAATTCCAGCAAATACAGCGAATTAACTAGCTCTGGGTGCTAAGAGTCGTTGTGATTTCGACTGCTGCATACTGATTCGGATACTATATACTGAGTCGAATCATTCCCTTAATAAAGCTCATTCATATTTTTCTCGGCCAGTTTCGAAGTATATGTCTTGGGGGAGTCGCGTAAGCTATAATTCGATTAACTCCTATTCGAGCATAAGAGCTGCCTTTGCATGAACCGTTCCGCCGCGTATTCAGATAAAACTTCATAGTGTGATCTCGAACTTTCCAAATAATAATCCAAGAAAATGCTCGTTTCCAAATCGATGCAGACTATGTCATAAGATCAAATCTTTAAATTAGTCTCTCGTTCCTGCGCGACAAACTCCTCACATACGAACATCCAGAAGAGCAATAATAGTTGGTTGAGCATACGTTTCCCAACGTCCTATCTGTGTCTGGTCTGAGAGATGCAATGCGTTGTGACTTTTGTTAACATTATTAAGACAAAGTAGCAAAAGTAATTGGACTTCGACTTGTAGTCGAAAAGTAATTCGACTATAAGATGGCAGCCCGTTTAGCTCAATACCAATTCATTGACTTTGCAATTTATCAAACAGTCATCGGCCCACCACTCGGCGAGCCACTGAAATATTCCCAACATCCTATCTGTGTCTGGTCTGAGAGATGCAATGCGTTATGTGACTTTTGTTAGCATTATTAAAACAAAGTAGCAAAGTAATTGGACTTCGACTTGTAGTCGAAAAGTAATTCAACTATAAGACGGCAGCCAGTTTAGCTCAATAACAATTCATTGACTTTGCAATTTATCAAACAGTCATCGGCCCACTACTCGGCGAGCCAGTGAAATATTATCTGGAAATACATTTGCGCATGGTTCAGCAACGTCGGATGATTGCACAAAAGATGTCCGCATGCGGCTCTTTGTTCCTCAAGCCAGCCATTAATGATACAAAGCGTATCCATAGCGACTTCATGACATAGAGGCACTATGCCTCCTCATAAAAGTCCGCCTTCGACGGTGCCTTGGTCTCATTTGTTCCGGCGAACTCACAGTAAGTCCGCTAGTTACCTATTTACAAGATATATACGTGCGCCGAAATGGTTTGAAATTCAAAGCAAAAAATACTATCATTTACTCTTTCAATGTCAAAACAAGTCTCGACAAACCAGTAAATATGATACTGCCACAATCGCCACCATATCGGGCATTACTATGGACATACAGTTGACTTTGACTTGAGGCTTCGCAGCCTTTGTCAAAGCTGTCAAACTTCCTACTTTGAAACACAGCGGCCACAGCTATAAATCCGCGGTTAGACAACCCATCCAAAAGTGGTGAAATTAGGCTGACGGACATGTGTGGAATCTGCATTGAAAACGTTTAGCACACGACTTTTGCTGCATCTCCAGTATATAATGACATGCTTATTTAACAAAATGGCTTGCTGATCATGAAAGAAATGTATCACGTCAGGACTAACACGACATATCTGGATATGTTTCACTCACTTTTGAACTTTGCTGAGGTGACAATATCTCGCGTGAGACTCTGGTCTGGTCTGCGCCCATTATCAGATAAGAAAGCAGTTTTTTATATCCCAAAGGGATAGGCGTTGTTGCACACACAAATCAAGGTGGTAAAGAACTCATATCTAAATGTACATTGAAAACGTAGAAAAGGCCACTAAATGTTCATCCACTCTTTACCAATGAAAACGTACTGACATATTGATCACATAAGTACAAATGTACATTTAGCGACAATTTCACTTTTTCGATGTACATTTACTAGATTGTTCGTGCAAAGGTTGCTTAACTTTGAATTAAAGAGCCTTCGGCTATATGCATTCGTTACAAATAAATATGTTGAGGGAGAGATGATGTCTTTTGTTAATTGGTATTGATATATGCTACTTCATTCACTGTCTGATGCGCAACTCACGTGGTCTGTGATGCACTTTTTCAGGAACATAGGAGAATAGTATTCCGGAAATTCATTTTCGAATTCTGTTGTCAGTTGGACACTTGAGATATAGTCGTGCAAAGACAACGCCTCCCAATCATACACGAGTTGTGAGTTTTCTGATGCTGCTCTACCATGGGCACAAGGCAAAACTCCACAGCTAAACTGTCGTGTTGGGTTACACCGCCTACTATAAAGCTGTTTGCAACATTATCTGTGAGGAAACATTTCATCCATCGTACTATATAACTGAATTGCTCGTCAGCTCTCGCAGGACTCGGCATACCATCTAAAAAGTAACTATAGCGATTGTTTTCTCTAATGTGACAATCGCTGAGTTCAAATATGCTTTCCTATGCTTCCACGGAATCAATACCGAAATCTTCTCGGTCAGCTTTGCGGGTCCCATAAGTCTTAAGCTTTCTGCCTTATGATACTTGTGTAAGTCATTCATCCATATTCTATGTGCATCAGCATCGCAGAAGCCAACGGCCTGAAAGGGTAGTGGCGACAAATGGTAGATTATAGGCGAGCCTTTGATCCATTCCCCCGGTTCGCATAATTGTAATACAATGTTTATCTGCAAGATCCAGTCACCGATATAAAATGACATTAACTTTGACGGAGTATCTATTGCTACATTGGTGTCTACGTTGATCACCTCCTTTCGCATCTTCTCTGCATATTCACTACCCCCACTGCTTGCGCGCTCCCTTTCTTAACAACGTAGATGGATACAACGTACTTTTGCTAGTCATTAGCACTTTGGACTTGCCAAGCGTCTTATTTCGTTGACTAGGTGTTAATTGCGGTTTGCGGCCAAATTTTCTCTCAGTGGTGCGTCTGATGCATGAAATTCGGCCTGATATGTTCGATTTACTAATTCCCCTGGTAGTGCACTGCTAATTATAGATTGGGAAATTGTATACAGAATGAAAATTTGCCAGTGAGATGTGACACGGAAACGAGTGAAAGTGTGTTCTTCAGGTTACACATCTCTGATAGTTTAGTTAGTCTAAAGACTATATTTGAGGTAATGTAAAGTCGATATTCATTTTCACGGCCATAAAACTTGTGCATGCTGACAAAAGTTTGTACATTATTTAGGTCAGGCTCTCTTCATGAGTGGAGACAAAGAATGCACATCCAGTCAAATGAGAACAACAGTTATTATCAACAACGATAATGACGACGCATCAAGGTGTGTTTTACATATTTGAGAAAAGTCATGTCTCTATAGGATATAATTCGGTAAAGTTTTGATTGATCCCCGTGTCGAAATGGCATCCTCGTCTGGGACAGACGTAGCGAAATATGTGACAGGGCGAATTATCAAGAATTGTCAACTAAACTATAGAAGTCAGACTTTGTATCAATTTATTTTGTGGGAGATACATGTTGATGATGTTCTATATCAATTCGATGCGGCCACTGAAACAATTTAATCCCATACATACCGACAGAATCAGGTGAGTGGATAAAGATTAAAACATTACCTCTCTTTTCCCTATTGCTTGATAATTTTTGAAGCAATGAAAGGAGAAATCATTCTAGAGTCTTAGAACTTTGTTGAATATAATATAGCCTGGGGAAAAGGAGGAAGCTTTAACGCTTTCTTGTACACAAGGAACAACGACTCGGACCGTGCACATGTGCGGTCCAATTCTATTACTAGTATAATCTTTTAAATGAATATGTTGTTGGTATTCTTTAGAGCGCGACATGTTTCGGATTGTTGAAAAATATAAATTGACAGTATGTTCGGCTATTCGATTTTAGAAAATAGCAAACAACCAGGCCGCAGCATATAAAGCTTGTGAGGATTGGCAGTGTGAGGGATCATATTATTAAGGCAAGTTGTTCGTTTATATGACAAACTTATCGAAATCTATGGTGGTCTCAGTACGAACCTGACAGTCACGAGGTGCGAAAGACTTGCTTGTACGTTCACGTAAAAAAAGAAGTTGGTATCTTTCTTGGCACGCGGTATCAAAATGGCGGCCTCTCGAACATTATTCAAGAGCCCAAAAGACGTAAGCAATAGATTTATACTTGCTTAATCGTACTCGACCCCCATTACCAGGCGATTATTCTTACCTCAATCGCAGATGATTGGATAGTGTGAGCGGAACGTAATAAATCGAAGAAGATCTTACTATGGGCGAGCATGTTAGAGCGTAATCATAATCGCTAGAAAGGTATCCAAAGTATTTGATTTTTTTTTAGAAACCGACAACAGGCACGCATAAAATGTAGTTTGTAGAGGCCAAATTTCTGGCACCACTGAACGTGAACAAAATGAGCAACAAGCCAGCGGCCATAGCTCACGAGGGAAGTCGGCCAGTAAAAGCGCGAGCATGTTAGAGCGTAATCATAATCACTAGAAAGGTATCCAAAGTATTTGATTTTTTTTTAGAAACCGACAACAGGCACGCATAAAACGTAGTTTGTAGAGGCCAAATTTCTGGCACCACTGAACGTGAACAGAATGAGCAACAAGCCAGCGGCCATAGCTCACGAGGGAAGTCGGCCAGTACAAGCTTGATACGCGAACGGATATTTACGACGAAAGTTAGTTAGGATTTGTTCCCGAGCACGAGATCATAACGAATCGGCCATTGATATTTTGTCCTTAGCTACCAATCAGCATTCAGACATCTATAAAGATATAATTTTATACGGATATGACCTGCTCCTATGTACGAGTTGATAATGAACCATATATGGCATTTTGTATAATATTGATCTTATGATGTGTAGCTCTTTTCCTATTCTTTGTGCTGTGGGTAGTGCAAATAAGATGATGACAGCAATGAGAAAGAAGTTGGAATTCTCTACAATCGCATACACAATGTAAACAAACACACACTCAATCATATTTACATTCCAATGATGGGTCTGAAATATTGTCAAATTAATAAGCGGAAGTCATTTGACATCTATCGACATTTCTTCGATTGTGGCCTAACGTACACACACAGGATGTGCGGGTGCTGGGTTTGAAACATCAGGGGGAGGTTCCGTGGTGCCTATGGGCCTCCAGAATGTATTTAAGGGAAGAAGCTTTGCGTCGAACCCAGGTGTCATAAAAAAAATACAGCACTGGAAAGTCGCTAAATGTACATATAACAGTCGCTAAATGTACTTTTTAGGTTTTATTTGAAGTAAGTTCGAGAAAGGAATTGAATACCACATTTAGGGAATTTCATTGAGCAATTAAAAAACGTACCCGTAAATCTGTATGAACGTTTTACATTTGAGACTTTCCCATGTAGACCATGTACATTTAGAGTATTTCCTCTTAAAGGACGTATAAGAGTAGCAAGAGTGCAGTCTCAGAGCGGCATTCCCAGGATAATATTACCATGCTTGAGAATGGTAAAACTTGAGGATTTTGGTAAGCAATCAATGAAGAATATGAAACAAATTGAAGTTGATTTGCACAATTTTGTTTTGGCTTGCTATCCGAAGGAGCAGGACATGGTGATTGTAGAAATAGCTTATGAGACATGGGGTCTACCATTAGGGTGTAAGATACAGAGTGATCTGTTAGAAGCTAGACGAGGGGTGCCTGTCCGTACTAATGGCTCTGTGGGAGCATAAGGTCAGGTCCCAGGTGGAGAAATTTATACTGGCTGACATCCTTGTAAGTCTACCAGCTGTCCCATGACAGATGGTAATATGTCTGGCCACATACCTCAACAAAAGAGGAAGCGTACTAAGATCATCAAGACAGCTCAGACGAAGAAGGAGGAAGAAGCAGTGGTAGCAGTTGCATTGAAGGCCACGTCAGCAGCTGGAGTAGCAGGAGCAGCAATCAATACAGTTTCGACAGCAGCCGAAGACGCTAAGGTAGCTGGGGCTGTGGTTGCCAGTGCCGCAAAGTTTGTGGTACCTGGCAAACACTGACATGGAAGCGTTGCTGAGGCTGTGGTAAATGGAGTAAAAAGTCTGAGTTATTTGGACTCAGGAGCTACTCCTACGCGGATAACCACAGACCTAGTAGAACGCCTGAACATAGAAATATCAGTGTATACCGGAAAAGGGTTTGGTGAGCTTACACCCATAGGCGAGGTGGTGGTGGACGTACAGATAGTATCATGGAAGGTTTATACAAAAACTGTGGCCATGAGGTGTTTTGTAGTAACATGTATTCCCATGAGTTGTGACTTACTGGTGGGATACAAAAGTCTGCAGGAGCTGTGCTGGCATCTAGTTTGGAGAAAGCAAGTACTGACCGTAGTCCCCCAGGAAGAGCTTATGGAGTCCGCACGTCAACTGGCATTGGAGTATATAGTAGTGGCGGTGATGCCTGAAGAAGGAGCTGGAGAAGAGAAGATGCCTGTGTATGAAGGGCTTATGACTAAGAGCGCGACAGGAGTATCTCATGCTTTACCGAGACTCAGCGAAAAAATATTGCACATCGGAGTGGCTAGACGATGAACATGAAAATGTGGTCTGGGACAAGGCTTTGGACTACTCAGATCTTGTAACCGATGGAATACACAAATTGGCAGAAACAGTAATGGCATCTAAAGAAAAAGTACATACCTTACTGTCCCTGTTTGAGGCGGTTGCGTATGATGCAATGCATCCAAAATTTCTTAATGTAGCCGACCTGATACTTTACGAGAATGTTGACGCTGTCCCTCAATATACGAGCTACTTTCACAATGATTAAGTAAGGGGAGGAGCATTGTTCCAGAAGGTGTCTGCGTGGTTGAAGGCAGGCATTATAGAAGAGATTCAGAAGAGCGAATGATATTCGGCTCCTCATTTGGTCTATAAGAAGCCCGGGGTGACACCTGTAGAAGTGGACGATTGGCGGTGTTGTGTTAATCTGAAAAGAGTGAATACGCAACTAAGAGCGGTACTGTATCATATACCCACAAAACGTGAAAATTTGTCTTAAGTTGAAAAACAAAAATTATACAACGACAATGGATATGGGTCAAGGTTCTATCAGTTGAGGATAGCACCCCTGTCGCGTAAATACTTGTCTTTTAAGACACCTTTTGGAAGATAACCCTTTGTGGGGATGCCCTTCGGGTTGAAGGAGGCATCGTGGAGGTGTCAGCAGGTGTTAGAAGAGATATTTGCGGGTCTCGATGATGTGGTTTGCTACATTGATGATTTATCGGAAGTGGCTAAAGTTTTTTATGGAGAGGTGCCGACGATATAATGTGCAGCTAAGACTTTCCAAATGTGTGGTAGCGCAATACAGAACGCCGGTGGTAATCATAGGGAGGCTGGTGGACTATATAGGATCTACAATGGGGGATGTACGCTTACATGCGTTGCTAGAGCTAAATGAACCAACCTCAAAGGATCGACTAAAATCTTGGTACCATAGGGTGGGTTGGTGGGCTAGAGTATGTGCCCAATTTTGCGAGGATACTGCAACCAGTGGCGATACTGCTAAAAGATGATAGTGTGTTCATATGGGATCAACCGCAACGAGCTGCATTTCAGAAAATTGGGGAACTACTACGAAACTAGTGATGTTCGCAGACGCTTGCGAATCAGTAGGCATAGGTGGTATACTTACAGTATTTAGAATGGAAGTTATCTGCCTGTCAGCTTCGTCTCTTCACGGTATGATGGGGCGCAGAAGGCATATCACATCACAGACAAAGAGGCCTTGGCCCTGGTGTGCGGGATACGCAAGGACATGAGGATACTCAGTCGTACGGAGAAGGTGATACGGCTATATGCTGACCACCAGCCATTGGTAGCAATATTTTCTAGGTCTAAAGAATCATTTGTAGACGACGTCGGGGGCAGACGAATGGGACGATACTACGATGTAGTACGAGACTTCAATGGGTAAATAGTGCACATACCTGTGGAAGAAAATCCTATAGCGGATGTGTTGTCCCGCTCATGTGTTACCATTGATCCCATACTGCGGGTGCGAGAGGGTAGTGAAGACCTCAGAAAACATTTTGCCTATCCACTAGCATCCATGCCGTCGACAGAGGAGTACCAACTTACGTCCCCATACTTTAAAGCGGCAGATAAGCAGTGGGGACCCCACACGGCCGACGGGTTTGCCTTACCAGGCAACGCCATACTTCCCTATTATTGTGTTCCTACTCTAGAAAGAGGGTTATTTGTGTGATACTGGGGCGACCCCAGTGTTAACTAGTTATTTAATCATCATTGGACGTTGCTACCCAAAGTGGTCAACAAGGCCAAGAAGGAAGTAGCGTGGTGTACTTTAGTATGCCCTTACTGGCCTTGGACAGAGTGGTTCCCTATTTTGGTGGAACTTTTAGCTGACGACCCCATAGTTAGCGGAGGTATTCAACAGGCATGGGCGAGAGGATACAAAACCACCTTCATTTGTTACTCTCATCTGCAGATTGGGTCCAAGACATTTTCAAGTAAGTGCGGAAATCTGGAAGAAGTGTGAAGCTTTGTTCAGCAGTGACTCGGTTATGGAGCCAGCTGAATCGAAGCATGTCAGGCAAACAACCACAACGACGCAGATGCAACTAAACTCTTTGAGGACCGGGGTGCGACAGGTGGCTGCATTTCTGGTTATGAAAGTGAAAGAAATGTATGTTTTGGACCAATCACTGAACAGAGCAGAACAGTGAGTATATCCGTCGACAGACAGCAAGATACGGTTAGTACTCAGGAGCGTGACATACCTGTGGTGGCGGCGTCAATAAACGCTGAGGAACTGGGAGACACAAGGGATAATGCTGGTTCGGCTCTTAGACGAAAGGCTGTTCCTCTTCAGGTGGATCCCCGGCCGGTCCTGTTGGCTTGCCCCACACGGAAACTTTGAGGCGTGGAGCTAACAGGAGCACAAGTTGTTAAGTCCTTGCAATACCTCCATGTAACATATGCGCATGCTGCGCAGGCACGCTTGGAGCACTTGACAAAATATGTACCTGGGTGGGGTAACTTGTGGCCGCAAATACGAATGATAGTTCGAGTTCGTGCACAGTATCAGCAGTATGGGAGGCCACCACCAGAATCTTCAGGCTTGTTGCAACAACCTGAGCGAACAGCGGTCATTTAGCCCACTGGGGTGTGGATTTCGTCGACCTTCCTGTGGCATCCGCAGGAGAATGCTCAGTATTGGTCGCTGTAAACGAAAAGTGGTTTGCGTTTTTATGTAAGTTTCGGTCTATCAAGGCGATATTAACGCCTTAAAGTAATTAAGCGCTTCGGTTAAGTCTAAGTATAGTTAAATTTGAAATAAATAAACGAAATGAGTCGTTTAGTAAAGTTAGGTATGCCTCGTGAAAACAGCAATACTTTGAGGGATTGTGAGGCTGAGACAATGCCTATATATAATCCTCTCAGTACTGTTTTCGCCGAAGGGATTTTATTTAGTGTTTCGTTGTCGCTCTAATAGAAACTATGGTATGTTTCGTTGGGGCAATCCAAGATACTCATAAAATCCTATCTTTAGAAGAAAAAAGGAATAGAAAAAAGAAAAATACTCCTGATGTCCATAGTTATTGCATTAACCAATAACTTACCACTTATCAAGAATTATCGACTTAGCCTTCATCAGACTGGCACATCTGGTTGGCTGAAAGGAGGATAAACTAAGCAATGCTAATAGTCCTTAGAAACCTATGTTCGGTTGAGCCATCTCGCTACCGAAGTATTCAGATATAAATAGATTTGGAAAGTAAATATAGTTCTATTAATAGAACTAGACCAAATCTTATGTTTGGTATTTTACTGGGGCCTTTTAATGGCCTTGTCCAAATATCTGATATGTGAAATGGAAAAGGTATTAATTAATAAAACCGTTAAAAACCATTTAGGAAACTTAAGTTCCTCGTACTATTAAGAATACGTTTGTAGTTTACGTACTGCTTAAGAGTACGTTTATAACAAAGAGTCTAATGTGGAGGCCCGGCTATTACACAGCCTCCGCCCAGCTTTGAAATCCAACAGAGACTAGTTGCTCACGCGAGCCGATTTTGGATTTACAAAGCGAGAAGTAAAAACGGGTCGAAAACATTAAGTAGCATTACGTATAGTTAATGTTTCTCAGGCGGAGAAGTTAAGCGTTCTCGGTTACCCTGTGAGTTTTGGGCTTAGGTCTAGTAGGTCCGTGGTGGTCGACTGGACGTTTCTTACGCTTCAGTGTCTTCAGCACATATGAAGGGTGAGCCTTAAAGCTCGTGATAAATGCTGTAAGCGAGTAAGTTTTAACTTCTGTGCCTTCAGACGATGGAAACATGCTATCTTTTCAGCTTGTGACTTATGCAGGCGTTTACGCCATTTTCGATGAAAGGCTTTCAAATAGTCTTGATTATCGAAAGCATCTGAAGTCAACTCAGAGATTGTACCGTCTATAAAGCGTGTACGATAGTATGTATAACCTCCCTTATTCGTTCTCCATATAATGTCTTTAAATTCAGGACGATCAAGAGGGGCATTAGAGCCATGTCTTCTTGCGAGTATAATCTCGGTAGTCGGAATCCGACTAGTGCCTATATTTAAAGCACTAGAACCGTCGGGGTTATTAACCTCATAGTCGGCTACAGAGACTATGTATGGTCCTATCCATTTCGATGTTAGTACAGTAGCATCGGAATTACGTTGACGGATGATAACTCTGTCTCCAACCTGATACTCTGCTATCTTTTTGGTAGCGTTCCATCTATTTTGCCTTTTTAATAAGGCAATATTGCGTGTTTCTCGCAAGCAAGGATATACAACGTTATAAACACGTTGTACCTTCTCTAACCATGGCTCTAACCATGGTAACTCATGGTGATTAGGTTCGTCCTTGTTAAAAGGTATTTGTAACTCACTATATCTGCCACGAAAATAGTGAGCGGGTGCTGTACCTGTAACCGGATCAACACACTCGTTCATCTGTGTTTGTAAATCATCTGCATCATCCGTTAATGCAGTACGTAAGAAGCACTCAAGTCTTCTATGGCGCGTTTCATTCGCGCCTTGTGTTTGCGGTTTATATGGTACATCCCTTTTATGGCACATGCCTGATACGAGTACTAACGATTCCATTACGTCATCACAGAACTCGCTACCGTTATCAGTACACATTACACCTGGCCACCCGTGGTCAGCAAAGACTTGGCAACATAATTCTGCCACGGCCTGCGTACTCTTGTCCTTTGAAGTATAGAGCAAGTTATACCGTAAGAAGTGGCATACGTAACGGTCGCCTGTGTGCTCGGACGTAGGCAGGTCAACCAGATCAATGATGACCCTGCGCCATGGAACATCTTCAGTCACACTCTTAAGCGGTGCGAACCCATAGCGCTTAATCTGGTTGAGATCACAGTCTGTACATGACTGATATACTCTGTCAACTAAAGTTGCCAGCTTAGGGTGCGCGATCCCATTTCGCTTAGCATCTTCAATTGCGTCTACTACGCACAGCTTATGGTTTTGCGTCAGCCAAGCAAGAATGTTTTCATCATTCTGCTCCTCCACAATAAAGGTAGGGTGTTAAGAACCCACTTGCGTGGTCTCTGAGTCAGTAGTGTTTCCAGACTCCTGTCCTTCTTTCGCATGAGTGTCATGAGTGCGCTCGAGTGCGTTTGGTACACCTGACTTATTTAATAGTCGCATTATATGTGTATATGCTTCGGGATTATCTTTCATCAATCCCTTTTAAAAATAGGGGTTGAAAGACTTCGGGCTTGGACTCTATGTTATTAAGCAGAGTCCTAGCTAGAGACTGACGCTTCTTAACTGTAGTGTCACTAGTAGATTGTATTTCTTGTGCAGAGACTTCAAGTGCTGTGTTGCCTTTGAATTGCTTAACGCTCAATTTAGTAGGGAGTGGAATCTCTGA